AGAGACTTCTCCCATTAGCCACAACTTACGATGACCTGAAAGATGGACTCGAAATGAAGAAAAATGTTATGTTCTGATCTTTGTAAACACACACACACACACACACACACACAATCCTCAAACATTAAGACAGAATTTTTTTTTAAAAAGTAAAGCAAAGTGGAACTTCTGGGGCATTTAGTTCAAAATGCATAAGATACTAGATATACATTATGACCAGGTATAGAGTTGTAGTGTACAACATGAGGATACAGGGGACAACATTGGCCTTACATAGGAATGAAGCTAAGTAAGGAGGAGTTGTTCTTCCTAGTAGTGGTTACTCTTTTAGTTGTTCTTCCTTCAATAATGGATGAGATGAATGTAATTCTTTAAGTATACCTGCCTATTTTCAGAAATAATAACAAACAATATAGCAATAATGTTGCACACTCAACATAGAACAAAATGTCAAATTAAAATACATGAGATTATCCTTGATGTAAACTAATTAATACAAATAAGGGAAACCATGGGACCTATGTTTCTTTAAGTCTGGCTTACTTCACTTAATATGATTTTTTCAAAGATTTTCCATTTCCTTACAAATGAGGTGGTCACATTCTTTGTGATGCAAGCATATTTTTCCACGTTTGTTTATCTGTAAGTGTGTACGTGTGTATGTGTGTGTGTGTCATTTTTGGTAAGTATTACTGTGATACATAGTAGTATCTTTACTGTGGCCTTGTTTGTGATCACCTGGTTATATGCCTAGAAGTGGGATTACTGGGTAATAGGGGAGCGTTATTGTGTACATCAAGGATAATCTTATTAGATGAGCAGAATAGCTCAATAGCTATGTACATATGATCGTATAAGGTGATTCCAAGTTAAATGAACTCCAAGACATGTTCTTTGTTATTGTTGTTCTTAATGTACTATGTGATTTCTTTTTATCCTTTTGGGTTTTCCCCACCTATGATTAATCCCCTGTAGTCACTGTATTGGATTTTGATACCCTGGGTATTTTCAATATGTTGATCTGAACTAGGGAAGTGAAAGGAAAAAAAAAAACTAAATGGTGAGACAAAGGACAAAGGGGGAACCTATGCAACAGTAGTACTCAAAAGAAAATATTTTGTAAGTAAACTTGGGGAGGGCATTGGGAGTGAAGAGGGAGAAAAATAAGGGTAATTTAGAAAAGAAATAAATTAATTACCTTACTTATGTAACTATATCCTATCTGTATATTACCTTGACAATAAAATTTAAATAAAAATAAAATAAAATATATGAGAGCAGCAATACAGGAGATGGGAGTGGGGGAAATACTGTAGTATCATAGAGCAGAACAGCTGTGGAAAGCAGTAATTTTACATTAACATAGCAAGTAATAAACTAGCATACAGATTTTCAGCTTCATGTCAATCATTAAAAAGGGAAAACAAAATGCACAATCAGCATACCAATAGAGATAAAATAGAAAACTAAACAATTAAGATGAAGCGATGACTTGGACCAAGAATAACAAATGACACAATTAGGAAACAAATAACAAGCTGCTGGGCTGGGAAGGTGGCTCAGTGGTAGAGTGCTTGCCTTGCATGCCTGAGGCCCTGGGTTCGATTCCTCAACACCACATAAGCAAAAAGAAAAAAGCCAGAAGTAGTACTGTGTCTCAAGTGGTAGAGCACTAGCCTTGAGCTGAAATGATGAGGCACAGCACCCAGGCCCAGAGTTCAGGCCCCACGATCGGACCCAAAAAAAAAAAAAGTAACAAGCTGCTAAGTTTAAAAATGATCACCCTTAATTCTATTGACTTGCTTACATCACAATTTGTTAGAAGTATAATTCAAATCACAGTTTAATAGTATGTCATTTTAATAATAGTTTACTTATTATTGATTTCTTAATATTGAATGTTTAATATATAATTTTCATTTCAGCAGCTATAGAAAAGAAGAAAGTGAAAATAGTTTTAATAATATATTTAATGAATTGTAAAATTGAGAAGCATTAGAATTTAAACAAATAACATATCATTATTGCTTCATTTCTGTGAGTTAATGTAATAATTCAAAGTGTATTCTACACTTAGCACTCATCTTAACATCAAATAATAAATTATTGCACATGACTCTTGGTATTAGTTGGAAGGGTTCATCACTGTGGTAAAATTCACACCACATAGTACACGAGGGTATGACCCCTCTCATATAGCTTAAATTGAGGAAATTTGATTTTTACATGCATGTTAAATTCTTGTCTAGGTGACATCTATAAAATTATTTACAATTATATACATGAGGACTATTTCAGATAATACTTAAAAGTCAAATTCATTAATTAAATTTTTATTATTTCATACCAATTAAATATTTACAGAGAGACTGAATTTTTGAGTAGATGATGGTGTATGTGTGCCAGAATATACGTGTTAAGGCTTATTTTATATTCATGACATTGTTTCTAGAGTTGGATTTATTTGTCCATTACGGGTTAAGTGTATTATATTGGATCTATGAAAGTAAACTGAATGTTTATTCCATTAATCCTTTGTCTAATCCCTACATAAATTATCCATCTGTTTGAAGTAATGAAAATAACCACAGATAAAAGCAAGATAAATCAGTCTGTAGTAGACAAGTATTTACACCGTTATTTTGAAAGTTGGTCCTGTTTTACACTACAGAATATTCTTGGGAATATGTGCTCCAGGCTGGCCACAACTGAAGAATATTATGGTTTGATCTATCATAAGAGAAGGAAGGAAGGGGACGCTTCCTTCCAAAAGTCTGATCCCAGGAATGTGATCTGCTTTATGGTGCCTACTTGGAAATGAACATTTTTCACAGTCAACCTATCAAAAAAGCCATTTTGATAGACGACTTCTGTAAGTGGTTAAAAAGCATTATTGATGGCTTTGCAAGGATGCCTGATTGCCTCATTTTGAGAGAATTAACAGGAATTTAGTCAGTTGTTCTTTGTATCTTTAGGAGAAAAACCCATTGACTCTAGGCAAGGGGAACACGGGGCCCAGAGAAACTACTGTCTTGAATAGTAATCCTTGACATCTAAAACAACACTCACACACACACACACACACACACACACACACACACACACACACACACACACACACACTCCATTAAGCACAGCCAGGCAGGGTTGCTATCACAGCCTAGATGAAATCAGGCAAAAAACAGAAGCTGAGAGTCATTTAGCTGATAACTAATATATTTTTTATGAGGTAGACTCAAATGAGACTCCAAAGAGAGGATCAGAAAGACTGATCAGAGAGACTAAAATTGGTCACACAAAGATTGGAAAGTATAATTCCTTGTAGAACAAATAAATCATAGAAAGCTTGTGTATGTAAGAACAAGACAAAAGACCAAATTCCAGAAATGCACATTTTCTTAGAAGTCAGCTTAATCAATTATCAGTGCAAATCTTTGAATTCTTAAATATTTGACCACATGTGGGAGAGGTTGAAAAGAAAGAAAATTTCATCACTCTATTAGGAAGTCCAATATCACATTAGGAAGTAATCAAGCACAGATTTGTAATAAAAAGAGAAAACAATTATTCCAAATGAGGGTTTCATTTCTTTTGAAGTAAAAGTTCTTAAATTAGCTGCTAGCAATTATCATACAATTGATCCAGTCCCCCAGATGAGTTGATAATTGACTGCAGTATTCCCACATGAAGGAAAAGAGAAAATTTACAAATGTCTGATGAAATGAGGTGAAGATGAAGTGTTCTAATAGTAATATCTGAGGTTTAGACACTGGTGAAGAGGTGGATTTTCTTTTCTAAAAAGCCCCCATTTTTACCTGGTGCAGTTGCTCACAGCTGTAATCCTAGCTACTTAGGAAACTGAGATCTGAGGACTTCGGTTCAAAGCCAGCGTGGACAAGAAGACCCTGAGACTCTTATTTCCATTTAACCACCAGAAAACCAGAAGTGGCACTGTCGCTCAAGGTGGTAGAGCACTCAGCTTGAGTTGAAGAGTTCAGGGACAGTGCCCAAGCCCAGACTTCAAGCCCCTCAAACAACAACAACCAAAAATCTCCCCTTTATGGACTACCTTCATCTCTTCCTAAGATTCAACAAAGGAGCCATTTATCACCCATTACATTTAAGTCCTAATCTAGCTACTGCAAATAGATTGATTTGGTATCTTATATAAAACGGTTCATATTTGCGGAAACAAATACCAGGAGTGGTAACTTTTTTCCAATCCTTGAACTCTGGGCCTGAGCCCTGAACATGGTTATGCTGGTAGCTTTCATGTGAGCTTGTTTGTTATTTATTGGATTACTGCCTATGAGGGGAATTACTGGGTCTTAAGGGAGATCTATATTTACTCTTTTCAGTAAACTCCGTACTGCATTCCACAGTGGTTGAACATGTTTAATTTCCCACCAACAGTGTAATGGAGTTCCCAATTGGCTACATCCATGCCAGCATTTGCTATTGTTAGTTTTCTTAGTAATGGCCATTCTAACGGACAAGGTAGAATCTGTCTTGTTTACTTATAGATTTGTATGCATCTTCTAGCTACAACAAACGAATGAATCCATGAAACCTATATTGCTCTGATTCTGCATTCCTTTCTCTTTTCTCTTAATATAATTTTCCCAAACCTTTCATTTTTCTTACCACTGGTGAAAAGTAATCTTTCTGATGGGTGAATATAATTCCATTTTGTGAATGTGTGTGTGTGTGTGTGTGTGTGTGTGTGTGTGTGTGTAAGATGACTATAGGCCAATGAATTCATTTCTAAGCATGCTGTTTCATCTGTAATTTTGTAATTCCATATTATAGTTGCATTGCTTTCTCTTCTACAGTGAAGAATATTGTTGGGATTTTGATGAGTATTGCATTGCCAATTGTTTAGGGGAAGTATTGCAGTTTTCAAAATGTTAATTCTTCCAACCAGAAATACTGAACGACTTTCTATTTCCTTGAATCTCCTTCAATTTCCCTTTTTATATTTTTTAAGTTTTCACATACAGGTCCTTCACAATTTTAGTTCAAGAATAATTCCGGGACCCCGTTTCGCGGGTTTGAAACCCGGGCCTCCCCGCCCCTCCCGAAACGCTGCAGGTACTAAACAGACAAGAACCTTGAAACAAGATGCTTCAAAAAGGAAAGCAGAAGTAGAAGCAGCTGTGAAAAAGAAGATTGAATTTGAGAGAAAAGCTCTACGTATTGTTGAACAACTTTTAGAGGAGAATATTACTGAAGAGTTCCTAAAGGAGTGTGGGAAGTTTATCACTCCTGCTCACTACAGCGATATTGTGGATGAACGATCTATCATCAAACTCTGTGGTTACCCTTTGTGTCAGAAGAAATTGGGAACTGTACCAAAACAGAAATATAAAATTTCTACCAAAACCAATAAAGTCTATGATATTACTGAAAGAAAGCTAGGATTACAAGCGTGAGCCACCAGCACCTGGCAAGATGAGCAGACTTCCAAAGATGGATACTGGTTATGTGTGAACATAATGTCCCTTAACTACGTTCTGAATGGGGAATAAGATGAGCTTTAGGAGATTGAGCACCAAGTCTTTTTGCAGCAATTTTTGTTACAAAGCATCTAAGATTTTTGAAGCACAGATTTCTAATACTCCAGTATGGGTTCGAGAAGAAGAGAGGCATCCTGACTTTCAGCTGCTACAGGAAGGACAAAGTGGCCATTCAGGAGAAGAAGTGCAGTTCTGCAGTAAAACCATCAAAACATCAGATATTGACAACACTTGTCATTTTGAAACGCAATATGAGTCTAGTTCTTCTAGCATTTACAGTGATAGTAACAGTGATAATGAACAAGACTTTGTTTCCTCCATTCTACCAGGAAGCAGACCAAATGCAAAGGGTCCAAGGCCACAGCTGCACAAGAAAAGCATAATGAAAAAGAAAGCTGGTCAGAAAGCTAGCTCAGAGTGCAAAGATATAGAGCAAGCAGTTGTAGATGTTGCTGCACAGTTAGGTAATTGTAGCTTAGATGATCAGGAGAAAGCTGCCCATGAACTTCCTCCTTCACAGAAGGTAAATGCTCCAATTTCTTCAAATAGTCCTTCGCATGAGAAATTAAATGCTTCAGCAGATTCTGAAGGCAAATACAGTATGTCAGAAATAACACTTGTGGGCCTAAGTAAGAAAAGTGCTGAACATTTTAAGAGAAAATTTACAAAATCAAGCCAAGTTTCTAGGTCAGACTGCAGTTCAGCACAGGTGTGCCCTGAAGTCATGAAGACAAACTTACTTAAAGTTCTGAAAGAGACTTTGATTGAATGGAAGACAGAAGAAACTTTGAGGTTTTTGTATGGCCAGAATTATACTTCTGTGTGCTTAGAACCCTCTTCAACCTCTCTCGTTAATGAAGAACTAGATGAAGATGACATAAATTCCAATCCAGGTTGTCATTCCCCATCTCAGAACAGCCTCGATCAGTCGTTACCTTTTAGATGCTCAGATACAGCCAGCAAACCAGTGCCAAGTTATGAGGACTTGAAAAAAGAAACTGAAACCCTGAATATGAGGATCAGGGAGTTTTATAAGGGACGATATGTTTTAAATGAAGAAACTTCCCAATCACAAGACTCAGGAGAGCCTGATCCCACCTTTCCGCTGGTAGATTCAAGTTCCCAGAACCAGATAAGAAAGCGCATCGTCCTTGAAAAACTGAGTAAAGTATTGCCTGGACTTTTAGGTCCTCTTCAGATTACAGTAGGAGATGTTCACACTGAACTTAAAAATCTTGTCCGCACATTCAGACTAACAAATAGAAATATTATCCATAAACCTTTGGAGTGGACTTTAATTGCTGTCGTGTTGCTGTCATTATAATCTCACAGCTTTCTGGCGTGTAAGGAGTGTTGCCTGCCATCTGGGTTCTCTGGCTTTGGAAATCAGTGGGACCTCTCGGGACTGCCTTAGAAATGCTGCTACAGAACAATTTGAGGAACTGGCTCCAGGACATCTGTGAGGGATCACTTCATGCAGGTGCTTGATGTACTCGTCATATATATCACCCAGAATTATTCAAGCAATAATTCAGACTTGCTGTGATTTAGTGTTACAGAGGGGTGTATGATGGAAACACCCCTGTGTTTCAGTGTGAATGCAGTGAGTGAAGCAATAGGGACCAGAGTAAGGGAAGCCATTTAAAATCCAAAGTTCACTACTATTGTTACACTACATGAAATGGTTATCATCAGTTGTTCAGTTTTCCTTGCTCAATAAACCAAAACTTTCCTATAGGTTTCTCTGTTGACAGACATAATTAAGCCTCAGAAATTACCTATCTGTCCCAAGTTTATACCTTAGTTTGTACAGCTTTAAATTTCTTTGCTTATAATATATACTTAATCACACGTAGATTTTTATGCCTATCATCCCAGCTACCAGGGAGGTATAACTAGAAGTTTCAGGCCTTGGAGAAAAGCAGGACTCAAATACAAAAATAAATAGGGCTGGGGTCTAATTCAAAGGGTAGAATACCTGCCTGTAAGGCCATGAGTTCAAACTCCAGTACTTCCCAAAAAATAAAATCAGTTATCACACTTAAAACTTTGAAACTGGTTCTTACTACTGTATATCATAAATCCTGTTAACCACATGTTGTTTGCTAGCTCAGAAATAACAAATGGAGGGTGCTTGTCCTAACCTGACTTGTGTTCCCTCTTTTTGATGTGGAACATATGTGGAGCAGTCAGCTAGGTAAAGGTCTTATCAATAAGATGCTGTTTGACACTTGGCTTTTTGCTTTTGTTGCCATGCCACTTACCATATGGTAAAGAATAAAAGCCTCTTGTCTTTTCAGGATTGAGGTTTGAACCAGTGAGAAGTTTCCTCTTGCTTGTGATTTGTACATTGCAGACTTTTATGATGTGTTTTCAAATTCTCTAGCATATAGATTGCTTTAAAATCATCCTTATTAAAGTGTTACTTTTAGCGGTATTTTCTGCAGAAACATGTTAAATATCAACTCTGGAGTATTACTGTTTTTTAGTTAAGTAGAAGTTATTTGAGCCTGTAGTTTTCTTTGATACTCAGTTTCAGGATTGAAATAAAGACTTTCAGTCCCTTTCAAAAAAAAAAAAAAAAAAAATAAAAAAAAAATAAAAAAAAAAAAAAAAAAAAAAAGAATAATTCCTAGTTTTGTTGTTGTTGTTTTGTTTTGTTTAGATTTGATTTGATTTTGAGGCTAGTACATATGAGGTTGTTTTTGGATTTCAGCGTGGATCTTCCCATTTTTGGTAACAGAAAAATTACTGATTCTTGTAGTTTTTATATCCTGCGACAGTGCTGAAGGTTAGCATCACCTTTACTAACTTTAGGGAGGAATCTACAGGGTCCTTTAAATATAGGGTCATTTCATCTGTAAAAAGGGATAGTTTTACTTCTACCCTATTTTGATCTGCTTTATGTTTTTCTCTTGTCTATTGCTCTTGCAAGAAAGTCCACTACAATATTGAAGAGTAGTAGAGAGTGGACATCCTTTTCTCATTCCTCATGTTAATGTCTTCATGCTTCCACCCTTAGGTAAATGCTAATTATCTCTGTCATATACATACTCAGTTTAATATTGAGGAATGTTCCATGCATTCCTAGGTTCTTAGACCTTTCAATCATAATGGGGTATTAGAGCTTGTTAAAAGCTATTTCTACATCTCTATTGACTATCATGTGTTTCTTGTCCAGGTTCTGCTGATGGTTTGTATTATGTTTATTGACAAGAATATTGAATCAAATCGTATCCAAGATGAATCCTATTTGATCATACCATATGATTTTTTGTTAGTTGCTGAAATTGATTAGTGAGAATTTTATTAAGAAGTTCTGCATTAATGCTTATCAAAGAGTTTGGTTCATAGTTCTCTTTCTGTGGTGAGTCCCTATGTGATTTGAGGAGGAGTCTAATTCTAGCTTCTTAGAATGTGTTTGATAATGTGTCTCTCATAGATACTAGATGGACGCATCTTGGTTTTTGATACTACTATCTAATCTATGTCTTCTATTTGGAAATTTAAGTCCATTGATATTGAGAGTTCAGACAGAAATATCTGATAAGTTCTGTTATGTTATACACCTGTTGTTAGGAGCTGTGCCTCATCTACTCTTAACATATTTACCTTGTTCTCTGGTACGGAGCATTTTATATAACCAGTTCCTCTTCTTCTTGATCTCCTCTATGTAGGATATATTTGATTATATTTTATCCTGATAATTTGATGGAAATACGTTGTTTCAAGTTTTCTTTGTCATGAAATATGTTTATATATCCTTTAAATGTAAAGGAGAGTTTGGCTTGGGACTGTATTCATGATGCTAGTTGTTTATCTTTAATGTTTATCATATATAATGCCAGGCTTTCCTTTTTACCATATCAGCTAAAAAATCTGTATTTATTCTGACTGTATATCCTTTACAAATAATCATTCTTTTCTCTATGGCATCTTTAAGAATCCTTTCCTCGATTTTTAATAATCCTCTAATGGATTATGATGTCATGGTGGATTGTTCAGTTCTAGAATTCTGTTTGGTTTCTACAGGCTTCTCTTCTCTGAATGAGCCTATCTCATGTTTGGCATGTTCTCTGCTAGAATTCTGCAATATGCTTCCCATCCATTTAGTTTCTTGCTCTTCTCCTTCTTGATACATATCTCCCCGAAATATGATCTTCTAACTGAGTCTTGAAATTCTGGCAAGATCATTTCTTATTTCTTGGATTTGTTCTAAATGATTATTTCCTCTTTCCTATTATATCTATTCTGTCTTTGACCCTGAGATTATCTTCTATGTCATCAATTTGCTGTGGAGACGTTCTACTTTGTTTTTGATTTCCCTGTCTTCTAATTGGTTATTTTTAGGGGTTATTAATTTTCAGAAGTGGCAGTTTGGTTATTCTCTTTCACTAATATACTCCCTCTATTTCCTTTTTGTTACTCCTTCCTCGTAAAATCTTGTTTTTTACATAAAATTATATCTTTATATATGCACATATAAACTCATTTGGAGGATTTAAGGTAAACTGTAACTTAATTAAAGATGTACAGAGGATTATCAGGATGAACAAAAACGAGTATTTTTTAACTTCTGAATTGAATTATCATTATTATTATGGTTAGGGTTAGGATACCAGACAGAATTAGAATTAGGGTTAGAGAAATAGCAAATTTAGGTTCAACACAGGATGACCTATTGCAACAATAATACTCACAGCACATTGTAGTGAAAATGAACTTTACAGCTTGGGGAGAGAAGAGTGATGGAGATGGGAGAGGGAAGGGATAGTTGGACAACAACAAAGAAGGGAGTAACAATGGTCAACAAGAAATGTACTCATTACCTTACACATTTAACTGTAATCCTTCTGTCAGCCTCATTACCTACTCAGGAAGCTGATTTCTGAGGACCGCAGTTCAAAGCCAGCCCAGGCAGGAAAGTCTGTGAGAATTTTATCTCCAATTAACTACCAGGAAAACAGAAAGTGGTGCTGTGGCTCAAGTGGTACAAGCGCACACCTTGAGATAACGAACTCAGGGATTGTGCCCAGGCCCAGAGTTCAAGCCCCACGACCGACAAAAAAAAAAAAAAAAAAAAGAAAGAAGTGTGTTAAATATTAAGTAAAGCTGAACTTTTTTAGGTTCTAGGAATTCAGGAAAATCTGGGATGTTGGAAGTACAGTGTATTTCGTAATATCAGGATTTGAGATCAATGGGTATAATGATTCCTCTTATGGAACAAGATAGGTTCAGAGATAAGAGTGAGAAAATCTGTAGGGTTTAGGAAAACCTGCAATTTATTTCGAGGATTACAGTGACATTTCAATTAGGATTGCACAAAACGAGCATTTTTCATAAATTTTAGAAGTGGGATACGATTAGTGGCAAGGATATGGTTAGGATTCCAGCCATAGTTAGGGTTAGAGTGAAGGAGAAAAAAAAATGAGGGTCAAATTGAAGGTAAATTTTAATATAAGCCTGGTAAGAATTAGAATGAATGTGAACTAGAGTATTGCTATTAATATTAGAATCTACTTGCAATATTCAATATACCAGTTAAGATTAAGTTTAGAGTTAGAAAATGACTAAGATATTGGAAAAAAATTGAAACCTATGTTTGGAAGGCTTATTTGAATCAAGTTAGGATGAATGAAAACTAGTGTAACACTAACTAGTTAGTGTTAGTATTAACATATAATTTGGATTAAAATCAGGGTCAGTATTTTGTTCTGATTATGATCAGTGTTATGAATAGGAAAGTTTTACTATAAAATTGAGTTTTCACTAACAAGTAGAAGCAAAAATGTGAGCGTGAATAATAACTAGAGCATTAACATTATATTTATTTCTCAGTGACCATTCTTGTAATGATTAATGAGGGTTTTCCAGCCAGGTATAGGTTGAGAGTTAGCGTTAAATAAAGGACTAGATGATATGTAAATCTGAAATTGTTTTAGGATACAGTGGTTCAGGAAAAGGTAGGACTAATGGAAACTACAGTATTTTTCCTGGTAAGAGAATGTCAGGACAAGTAATATAATGGTCCATGTTAGGGAACAAGATCACTTCAGAAGTAGAGTCAGGAAATTTGTTGGAATTAGGGAAAATTGAAACTCATTTCCAGAGTGCAAACTGGAATATTTATTACAATTAATAAAAAACTAGAGTATTTTTAGTGTTAATTTTAGACTATCAGTAGGTTGAAAATTAGTTTTCAGTTCCAGCTGGGCTTACTGTTAGCATTAGGGAAATGGAAAATTTAGGGTCAAACTGAAAGTAAATCTGTGACTAACAAGTCAAGATCGAATTAGGATGAATATGAAATAGGAAACTGCTAATAATATTAGGATTAGGGTATGATTAGTGTGAGGGTTAGCATGAATGTTGTGTTAGAAAAATGGCACGATGTTGAGTAAAACTAGAAACTATTTTAAGAAAGATGAGTTGAATCAAGGACAGGATGTATAAATTTAATGTACTTTTGTGGCTTTTAGAATCCAAAGGCAATTGGTTCTAGGGTTAGGGTTACTTTTCTAATTAATGAACTAACGAATTAAAGGCACAATTCTTTTTTTTTAAATGCGTATAAGGTTTATTATCCTTATTTATTTAGTATTATACATATAACACTTCATTTATTACATTATATCACCTAGATTATATTTGCATATGGATTATTTTTTTTTTAATTTTATTTTATTTGTGACCATACTGTACAGAGGGGTTACAATTACATGGGCAGGATAATGCATACATTTCTTACCAAGCATTGCAGCCTCCTCCTTTGTTTATCCTTCACCTCCCTTCCCAGCCCCCCCCCAATCCTTCCCCCCCCCCACCGACATTGTAAAGCTCGTTTTTGACATGACAATTTGTACTTCTCATTGTTGCAACAGGTCCACCTGAATCCTTAAACGACTTGTTTTTCCCCATCTCCTCCACAAGTTATACTGACATCAAATATATTGAAAGGGGGGTTATACTGTGGGGGAGGGACATACAAAGCAACAAAGAAATAATCTTATAAATGCGTTAGAAACACATGCATGAAAGAAAAAAAAACATTAGAATACCTATCTAAGGGTTCATTTTCCTAACATCACATTATCTGCCTTTTTCCACTTGACTCATACATATACTGGATATTCTTACAAACCAAGACAGTCACAATTTGCGGAAAAAAACAATTTTTCTACATGAAAATGTGTCTTAAAGTACTTTCCAACCAGGATTAAATAATAGTGAACAGGGTGTCATTCATTAAAATTAGGTAAGCTGATGATAAAACTTTCAAAAATATCCAAACACATAAATTGGAACTCAGATATGTTATTGGGAAAACAAATACTTGCTCTTGCTGGGAAATTTTGTGTGTGTGTGTGTGTGTGTGTGTGTGTCTGTGTGTCTGTGTGTGTGTGTGCACCCACCACAGGTCTTCAAATGAGGCCTGGGACCTGTCATTAGCTTATTCTGTGGAAGTATGGCACTAAACCACATAGCCACAGGCTTTCTTC